ATATATATATATATATATATCGTGGATGTGTTTAATTTTGCAGAATATTAATTTTACAAAAACAAACAGTTATTTGATTACAGGACATGCATTGTTTCCTGGTTCTGCCGTTGAGGAGCAACTTCTCTTAATATTTCATATGCTGGGCACTCCGTCATCAACAAGTCATCCTCAAATTTGGAATTCCCCCACATTTCGCTTATGCAAATTTCCACAGTATCGTCCGAACAGTTTGCAAAACACATGTCCAAGAATCGACCAGCATTCAAATGATCTCTTAAATCGCTTACTTCAGGTTAAATTCCTGCTGACACAAAATATATATTTTTCGTAGCTCATTGCTTTCGCCTTTGTAATTTCTTTATCGCATTCATTTGTTTGAGTAATGTTTTCAACATTTCAGTACGAAGGTCGGAAGCGGTTGTCAGCATCAGATGCTCTACAACATCCGTTCTTACAGTGTCTACCAAGAGCGGTTTTTGAGCTGTCTGATTGTGAATCGGTCATGTCAGTCCCAGGAGTTAAATTAGTGAAGGATCCAGTATTATCAAATCGTACAATTTGTAGGAACAATCACTCAAGCCGGCGTCAAAGTTTACTTCTTTGAATATATATCTATTCTTTTAATTTGCTTCTGAATGTTTCTTGAATTCACCTACCATAATCTGTTTGCATGAAAAGTTTTGTTTCATTTCTTCGTCAAGCAATTAGTGCTTTTGATATGGCTGCTAAATTTACTTCGCTTATAAAAAATTAATAAAATAATTTCAGAAATGGAAATATTGACTGGTGTTGAGACTATATCTTCTTTCTGTGATAATACTTGCAAAAAAATATATTTTTCTTCAGCTATTTGAATCTCAGTGCTTATAAAGAACAAGAATTATTTATCTAGTTATTTGCTTTGAGCATATTAAAATAGTTCATAAATCCTTCTCAAAGACCATTGAAATTTTTTTTTGAGCTTTCGATCGTCTTGTTTTTTCTTAGGCTTTGTTTCTATATGAGCACAGTCTTTGTTGAGTCTGTTTGTTGAATTCACATCTTTAATGCATTTCTTATCACTTCGGACCAAATTCTTTCAGTTCGTTAATAGCTATGTCTTGTGGCCACGCTTTTCTCACTTTCTTATATTTCATTGTTTTAATCCATGAGTAAAAAATCAGTATTTTTTGTTAGTGATTTCATCCATGTACTTGTTTTATCATCGCATATTATGTGATTTTGGTAAACATTTGTAGCAGTCTCAAATCATTCACTTTTTGCTGCATTGTTATTTGAATTATCGGTTTTACTTATGCCTGTATTGATCAGTTTAGGTTATAAATTTTATTTCTAAAAAGTATCCCATCTAGAAATTGCATTTTTTTATGCAGTTGCAACCTTTCTCAATTTCAGGAGCATCACCCACTCTTTTTTCTTCGTCCAATACTTGTACTCTCGATTTTCAGAAATTATTTTCCTAGAATGATTCGTTTACAACCAGCACCGCCACCACCGTCTCCTGATGGAGTGTCTTTATCTTGGATTTATCATAATCCGTTTTACTGGTAATCAATAATTCTTGAGTTTTAAAAGATAATATCCTTATACGAGATTGCCAGTATGAAGACTAAGTTTTTCTATGTGTTTCCTTGCATAGGAGCGGCGTTTCTTTCTGAGAGTATTTGGAAAAGATTTTAGTTTTTGTGAAGCAGGCTTGTATGGAATGAAATTACAGGAGCATGTGCAAAGGCATAGTAACTTTTGTTGGCGGCATCATTCTTGTGCGAACAGTCTGTGACGAATGGGATTCCATGTGAACTCGTTCATCACCAAAGTTCCCTATTAACCATCTCATGAATTATTTGCGCTTGAAGGATAAATGTTTCGCATTTGTATGTCAAGTTTATGGTAGATGTTGATTTATTGCACGAATTGATTAAATCAATGTATGCGGATAAGTACTCGCACGTTCTTACAAAAATATATGTGATTTAGTACTACACGAGTGACAGAGTTCACTGAGCAAGTCAGATTGCTCAACGATTCTGAATCCTGGCAATGTTTTGCTACCATATACTAGTTCTTGACACTGTCTTTCTCCAATTTCGTAGGAAACGCTGTCTACGCGTAGGCGTAGCCATAAGGAGCTTTGCAACAGCCTCAAATTTAGCCTGGTTTCGGGAAATATACAATTGCGCATCCTGGCCCATTTGGGTTATTCTAAATCACAAGAATGAATGAGTTGCATCGAATTGGCGGCAAAGATTCATGCATTTTGGGTAGGTATGCTGAAATGAGAGTCGTTTGCAAATTTTTTTCAAACCTCTTAGGATCAGTTTCATCTAGCGAATAAGGGTAGCTTATATGTGGATTAAAACGTGAGTACGATCCTTTTGGTAAAGTGTCACGCATACATAGGTCGACGAGTTCTGTATCGGTTGCTGAATCAATGATCCTTATGATTTTTTCTCGCAGTCGCGTTGATAACCTTGAATATATTGTATCATAAGCATGTCATCTTAGAAGCTTCACTTGCGTGTTTTATTTAGCTACAGTGTGGAATCAAGAATTCTTATGATGAACGGACTGCACTCACTTTTCTACATTTTCAGCTTCTGAAACTGCGTGACCACAGCCTATGGATACCACGCACTGAATACGTTCTTGAGGCCAGAGCATACGAGCTTCATGAAAAGCTAAAGCTGTAGGATTATTACAGAGTACGCCACCGTCTTGAAAAAGTAAAGGTCCCAGAGATACCTACAAAATTTAGCTCCAGAGTTCTGAGCAATGCAATATTACACAAAATGAAGCATATTTAAGATATGAAAAGACGTTCGCAAACCACTTTGTATGGTATGAACTTACCAATTAGATTATTCAATAGAAATTTTTCTGCACAAACACCAGCAACAATTAAAACTGGCACCTCTTGGAAGTATCCAGGTGCGGCGGAAGAAGCTTGCAGAGCTTCCCAAAGTTTGTAATTACACCCTCCATGGTAGTGGCTCTCACTTCCATAAGGCAATCCATAGGTGCGAAAAATATATGATTGTAACGTAGGCGTGTTCACTGTGCACGAAATAATGCTAAGCCTAGGCTTTTCCCGACTTCCACAAATTTCCAACAAAGTTTGTTCGCCAATTACCTTCAGTAAAGTCTTTTTCCATGTGTAATCAAGTTCTATGACCATAAAGAATACCTTTTAGACAATTTTAAGAGACTTCTAATTCATCTTCACAAGTTTCGATTCAAATTATGAAAATTGAATAGCGTTGCTTTAAAGCCATAAAAATAGAGTAATTTTTGAAAAACTGTGACTAATAATGCTGAGAATGTACAATATCATTTGAAACTTATCAAGAATTTTATGATAGATCATAACTTTTCGAGACAATCATTTTACTTACATTTTTTAGTATTTGCTTCCACTTTTCGGTGTTATAGTAAGCATGTGAAAGAAGTAAACCACTCATTCCCGAAAATTTGTCCTGATGGAAAAGTTCTCGAGAAATATCAATATATACTTCTTTGCATTTTTCAATTGATAGCCTCTTAGCAGTGAGTAATGCTCCAATAATAGCTCCTGTACTCACGCCTACAATAAGATCAAACGCCTCAACAACCTGAAAAACATCCACTTGCTGAATCATAAGAAATATTTTGTTTAACACAGTTCGAGATGAAGTAATGATATTCAAAAGTAAGCAGTGATGAAAAGGTAAATCTGGTTGGAAACTAACCTTTAGTCCTTTCAATTTGTTTTCCAGTGCCTGTAATACATCAAGGCTCAACATACCTCGTGTACCACCACCATCAAGTGATAGTACTCGAATGCCAGCAGACTGTGGTGTACTGATATCCCCCATAAGAGACGAAAATTGCCGAATTTGCTCTTTCAGTATGTTGTCATTAGTATTTTGCAAATGATGTTTCAATTTTCTGACAACTGACTTATAGAACTAAATCAAATAAAAAACTTTTTTGCAAGTAATAGACCTAATTAAAAGTAAAAAAAAAAGAGCCTAAGTCTATAAAACGTCGAAGGAATTTTTTTATCCAAACTAAATTCATAAAGACCTGAAAAACAACTGCACGAGAATCAGGATATTCCATACAGTGCTTACAGAGCTCCTGTGTCCTTAACATGACAGACCTATCTGCTTCTGTGGAAAGTAAATCAGAAACAAGTAATTTTGTTTTGTCAAACAGTGCTGATTTCGTTAAATAAGTTGCTTTTATACGTCCAGACCTGTAAGTTCAACAACAGGTTATTGCTAACAAAAGGCTGATATTTGTAGCAAGAAAAACTCCTGACAATTTTAAGCATCGACGTGAATTCTGCAGATATAACAAATTCTACTTCAAAATTGTAAACTATTTCAAGAAAGGAAAACTTGCAAATGAGGAATTACAACCCTCTATGACCTGTAGACAGCTGAATCCTAAACTGAACATAAGTACATCTTCGCTACATACTTGTAATCATTTTCAAAAGATGAAATATTAAGCATTAATAGTTTCGCATAAAACAGCTGAGGAAATTTTTCACTAGTATTTCATTTGATCAAAAAAACTGATGAATGATAACACTCACTGCAGATATACACAAAAAAAAGAAAGGATCTTCCTCTTTGCATATTATTATTAAAAACTAGACAATCTTCGATAATAATACCTAAAAATTTGCATAGCAATAATAATATGTATATAATTCGCACACTCACTTCACTTTAATCTTTTCTGATTCTTTTGTTCCTTCTGAAGGCCAGAGCGAAGAAAGTATAGACGAGAGATATGAAAGATGATTCGAAGCAGATAAACTGGATGCGAACGGTACCTGTGAATAATAGAAAAAAATTCAAGAAATCCTGAGCCCTGTCACACTAAATGCAATGCAATCTTGCTCCATTTCGTTCATTTATTGCCAAAACTCAGGAGCAAGATTCATACATAATTGTTATTCTGACACGAATGACTTACAGAATTTCCAGCATCCTTTTTGCGACTAGAATCTATTTTGCCTGATATTGCATTATTTCGTTCATTATCTTTGCTGAATGTTTTCGTTTCTCCATCTGAGTTTTTATAGTGTTTGCTTAAATGACGAAGAGATGTTCTAGCTCGCCTCCACATTAATACTAATATTCTTGGGAAAACTGTCACTGAATATGATGTTATACCAATAATTTTATCTAACAAACATAAACTCGAAAAACAATGGATAACACCGAACCTAACGCATGGCATACCTAATATAACAACGTATTAGTAAGGTAACAGTGTTAACTATGAACAACGAAAAAACGCCACATCTGACTATATAAAAGTCAACTGTGAACTGAACAAAATATACCTTCCCAGTTTAGGAAGAACGCACTACATAATAATTGAGAATACGCAGTATCCAATTTAGATTTCAACAACACCGTAGAAACTGCTATAGAATTCAAACACGAAACTTTTGCTATTTTGTAGCGCTTAAAGCTGGTATACAAACCACAGACATCATAATTATATTGAAGAGAGGAGTCAAAGTTACTAAATTCTCGATGATGACATTCCCGAAATAATGTAACGTAAAACCCATATCCATGATAATTCATCCTGCCCCTTAGTAATTTTATACTTTGAAACTTTCGACCTGACTTCTCAAAATACATGAATACTAGGAAAACCCCAGCTCAATGACTTCCCGCCGTAACTGGAAAACTGACTTTACAAAGAAAAGTCGGAGTAAAGATTTTGAAATCTTAATATCATAACTGAGAATTACCGGACACCAGTCAAACACGAAAAAAAAAACATACAGACCTCATAAATATTTAGATCGTAATTCCGTATAAATTACTAAGCTAAGGTCATACAACAGTAGAAAACGAACTAAATACCAGCTTCTATCTAGAAATTCTGCAAAATGTCTCTTCTTATTGCAAACCTTCGAAATTAGAGAGACCAGAAAATAATTTGCATGCATTCTGGAAATTAAACTTAATGACTGCCAGCCACGCCAAAGCTGCCATGTGACATAAAGTACACTACAAAAAAAATTAACATATAATATAGATAAAACGCTAATCTTGAACCGAATACCATCCTAGCAACAACTTGTAAGGCATACAATTTTTTTGAAAACCTACATAATTTAGCCACAAAGGAACTCTAGAATGAGTATCACGTCAGCCCATCCAACTGAAAATCCTACAATATTTCGTTCCTTGTAAGAAATGTTAACAACAGATCCCACCGCATTACATACAACTCACAGTAATTAACCATATACATAAAATAGTTTTAAAAAGATCCTTCATAAATCCCCTTAACGTTCCAGCTTGGCTTCACTACTTACTTCTCAACTTATAATTTCTAATGAATTCTTTATAACTTCCAAAAAACTGCAATGAAATTTGTGAATAGATCCTCCATAACGTGCCATTACTGACAATAGTCGAACAGCACATTATTTGAGCACTAAAAATTAAAGAGAGAACAGGACACCTCCAACTTATTAATTCAAAACTGTTATTAATAAATCCTCACAATTCAAAATCCAAATATTTACGAGGTTACGATATTTTTACAGGTAGAAGACACGATAAAAAAATTGAAAACATTTTACCTCAATCTCTTACTTAATACCTCTTCAGTTTTAAAAATTCAACTATTAAAGGAGAAAACGATCTCAACAAACAAAAAGTGAAACATTATCATATAGTGCAAAAAAGACATAAAATAAACTCTTCACAGTTTACAACAGCTTTTAGTGACTGGTGGAAAAAGCGTGCTATTCAGCTGAACTTCCAGTGCACTCACGAATCACTTTCTTTAATCGTTTACTATTATAAAATTATAAAGTTAAAAGGTAGTTAGGAGGAGGTATGCTATGTTCTTGTCTCTCGGTTATCAGTTCATATTTTGAATACATGCACTGATTTTTTGAGCAATATCCTTTTTACAAGCCTTTTGTTTTCGAACATGTCGCATGAAATCATCGAACAAAAATTTTCCTACTCCTGGTACCCAGTAAAATGCTTCTTTAGCTGCTTTTATAAGCTGAATCACCTAAAAAAGTAAAATCAATAGATACTAAGCTTAGAGATGAACACATATTACTTGTCCCCCAACTTTTAGCACCATGATCATGGAACGGTTGTCAAGTACAGGTTCCGCATCCCGAATATATAACAAAACTTCTGAAACTTTCAACGGCTATTATCGAAGTGAAAAGAAAATGACAAACTTCTTCAACATCTGAGGGAACGAAACGAGGATGACTAAGCTTGGAGCTCGTTGCTGCGTAAAACATTTCAATACAACGCTGCATTAAATCTGCAGTCGGAGGAGCGCAACCATTTTGTAAAAGTACCGCTCGCACCTAAAGTAACCACATATATTAAGATGGTACATTCCCATGCAACATAGTTCACATTCAAATAGCATCCAAATGAAAAATAATAGTCTGCGATGCAAACTTACATTTGGTGGACCACCGTTCAAATGAGGTAGAATTGGTTGAAGAACAGGTTGAGAATGATAGCCAACCGATGGTATTTGCCACTGAAATTTTACAGGATTGATAGAAGACAATGTTACACATTTTTAAAATCCTGTAGCAGTAAGAAACTATGTAAAACACCAACCTTGGCTGATTCGACAGCCAAAGAAAATAGAACAAATGGTGAAGCAATAGAACGAGCTGCCACTTCGCAAAAGCTTTGAATAAAGACTCCACCCAATCGTGTTGCTACTCGGAATAGCCAGTGAACATCCTCCGCATAAGCAGGATTCTAAGAACCAAATAATTGTTTATACGCTCTGTTATAGGGAGACTGCTTGCAATAATTCAAGATATGCAGAGTGCATGATTTACCTGTGAAAATTTTGCATAGCTACGATTATCATCTAAGTTCCTACTCCCCATAGTTTCCATAGCAATCATTCCTACGCGATGAGCATGTACAAGTTTTGCCATACGTGGATCCCCCATAACAGATGAATTTGATGAAGACAATGAAACGTTTACCGGATGCTAAATATCAAGAGGCTAGAATTCTTAATTACACTACCCATGCAAGTTGATCGCAGGTATGGCAGAAAAAAAATGATACTTTGACATTGTAAGAAATCCTTTTAGCCGTCTTTGTTAACAAGTGAAACCAATTTTATAAAACAAATTTTTCTGACTCCCTATCATTTTCATCTTAACCTAAAACGCAAACCTGAGTACTACCCTGTTCAAAATATGTAACTGGCTGTGAGACTGCTGGACAAATTACAAGTGATGTAGGAGGAGGTAAATGGTGTAGACCATTTACTGGAATTTCCTAAAAATACTAAAACTAGTCAGTTTCAAGAACCTAAGAGAACATAATTATTAGCTAAGTTTGAGCAAAAAAAGAAATATAAGAAAAAGCAATAGCTTCAATTAGAAAATTTCAAATACCTGAGTACCCTGCTCTCCGACAGATGGAAACTGACGATGCGTCCCTCCAGCACCAATAACAAGAGGACGTTGCGGCAAAACAGCTAAAGGTTGGTTGCACCTTGACAGATGGACTGTTGGAATAGGGCCCAAGTTAGGAGCTGAACGACTGACGTGTAACGCACGCGATGGAGTCGTATTAACAATAGGATTATAAATAGCACTTAATCGTTGTCGAGGACCATGGTGGGATGATACCATCGACAAAGCACCCATTGGTAGTGGTCCTCTATAAAGGAAAGCTTGAATTTGAAATATTCTAAGAAAACAGGACACAATCAATGCTCCTAGTGTACAATTTTTGTGAGCTCACTAATAATATAAAATTTTAATCTGCATATTTAGACCTCATTCAAATCAGCATTTTCAACACAAACAAGTGCAAGAAATGAGGTGGTTTACCTATGATGACTTACTTACCGCGGTGAAAAATGGATCTCGACCTGTGGCTGAGTCGACACCGGAGGTACATACACTGGAGGACGATTTGGTGGTCCTGAATGATGGTGGTGAACATGGAACGATGTTGGTGCATATGGTAAGGACTGAGGTCTGCACTGCACAGATATTTGTAACCTTGCTTGCGAAGTAGCTACTGAATACATAGTCTGAAATAATTCTTAGCCTGAATTCGTACTATACATTAAAGGGTTCTTGTATTTCCAAAATTTTTAGCAGCTAAAGTGAACTAAAAAAGTCAGTTCAGCATCTTTCAGAATCAACACAATATTCAAATAAATAAAAATTGCTTTCAACTACTTGAAATTTCATATCATTATACGAGAGTGGATAACTATAAAAATAATAAAACAAGGATTATTTGATTAACCTGTTGTTGCATTGCATCGGTGTACAACTGAGGAGCAGTAACTGAGTACAATGACTGTAGTGATGAAACCCCTATTTGATAAGCTGCTTGAAGATTATTTTCTACTTCTGATTTCAAAAACAAGTCAAACCAATGTCGTGCAACTTTAAAAAGAACCTCTGGATAAACACCATCCTTTTCTGCTGCCTACACAAGAAAAATACCTTTAAGAGCGCAATCATACATCATGATTCTCCTAGATTTGGCAAAAGAAAGAAGCAATAACTGATAAATTTTCTTTCCATATTTCATTAATGCATAAATCATAGCGGCCAATTTATCTCTATTTCTGCAAGATAATCCAAAAAACTGCAAAATACAGAAAACCTGTTCAACAGCACGACACGCCTTTTCGAGCATTTCTGAACTATGCTCTTTGCACTGATGTAAAGCTTTTTGACTTTCGGCAGCAGTTAGAGCATAAGCTTTCGGAAGTACAGATAATGCGAGCCTTGCACCTGCTTCAACCATGCAAGGATCACGACTTTGACTGGCCTATAACGTAAATAAAATAATTTAAAACACACAGCAAACGCTTAAATTCTAAGTGCGCAAAATACCTTATCAGCTAATGCAGCCACCTCCGTCGGTGTTAAATGGGTTTCCCAAACTTCTTCTAATATCTCAATGGCAGCACAACCTAAAAATACAAGACCGGAATGAATATTTACGAAATATCCGTTAATAATTCAAATAAACAGCACACGTATGCAACCTACCAATTTCTACTGCCTGGCCATGTATCCAGCTAACATTGGTGCTGTAAGTTCGAGTTTGCCAGCTTGCTGATAATAAATTGTTCAGGCCCAACGCATAAAGTCCAATTAAAAATGAACAGATATGTAAATGACGATGAGGACCTGTAGAAATATATAAATGCCACATATTTTCGCGGTGAGAAATTGATATCTTATATCATTCAAAAACTTTTCTTAAAAGATACCACTGCGTAGCGAATTATTCTGATTGCCTTGCGCAGCATTGAAAATTACGGTGTTCTGACTACCACCAGCTTCAAGAAGCAAACGTTTTGCCAATTCCATCATGCAATGAGCTTGCCCTTCGGAGACATGGTTAGGAAGAACTAGAGCTTGTTTCCGCCTGTAATTTTTCAGATAGTTTGCATAGTCAATCATAGTACATTAAGCTCTGAATCGCTTCGAAAAACGGTGGTATTAAAGACGGATGAATAATTATGATTACAATTATTTCAAAATTTTAGATTTCACCGAATCATATTAATTCAAACACTAATAATGATTTAACCAGACAATTTGATAAAGAATAATAACTTTAACTGACCGCAGCAGAGAGCAGTACAAAAAAACTACCGATTGTGCCTGACAAATACACTTGAGTCTACAGAATGAACTGTAGTCGAAGAGAAATCAGTCTTGCTTTCTGCATTCGACAATCGATAAGATGGTGATGGAGAATCAGGTGCTCCCAAGGAAGTTGACTGGTATTCCTAAAGCTTAAATGGAGTTAGGAGATGTAAAAATAAAGAGTTTGATGGTTATATTATGAAGTTTTACTTGATAAAAGCTGTTACAATACTTAGCATGGTATTCATAGCAAAACAACAAAATTATCATAACTTTATTGCCTTTATTGAAAACAGAAACAAAAAAAATCTTGAATTTTAAATGGTTTGCTATTTATAACTCACACGGAGTATGCCCCGTTGAAAACATCTTGTAACTCCTGAGCTACTACTTTCATCATATATACTCTCATTGCCGTCATCAGATGAACGTCGTCTACTGACAGATGTTATAGATGAAGAATCGTCTCTGAAAGCAATGAGGAAGAATTAAGCCTACTCAACTGGTAATAAGTCCCTAAAAAGTTCTCGTGATTACTGAAGTATGCACAACGAAAAAATTTTTACAACGATTTACATTACCTGTAATCATCAAAATAAACTAGAAGAGCTTTTTTTTTGAAAAACCTTACAAACTAACAGCAAAAGAAAACTAAATTTAATTGAAGTTAATTGAAATTTATCTTTGTTGCACATAAGCAAATAAATTACGACTAATTGTTTTTATCAACCGATAGCGTCAAGAAACAGTAAAACTTGAAAAAAGCAGCTAAATGAAGCGAAAGTAATAACTTACGGAGAGTCATGCGACAAATGCACGAAGCTACTGACCATTTGTTCCGCTTCGTTAATTGCTCCATTCCTATTTATATTTTCTTCGTGAATGTTTCTTACGTTCGTCCCTACCTCTGCGTCGAATAAACACACTTAATTCATAAAATCAGAAACAAACCGATTAATACTGCCTCGCCTCACTTCATTCATTTAAATAATATTCCTAGAAGCTTTACAAAGAAAAATGCTACTCGGTTTTTTTTAATTACTTACCGTTTTCGACTTTTCTAGCTTGATCATAATGAAATTCATCCCCGGGACGAAATTGTGGTCGTTGTCTATTGAAATATTTTTTGTAGGCTGGAACTTGATCCAAAAAAAAGGCTGCGTTGGACTGGTGATCTCTGCAAAATCAACCATCACTATAATTTCGAATGAATTTATTACAGTGTATACACAAGTGAAACTTACTTGTACATGCGATGCATACATGGGTCGAGAAGTTTGTCCAATACCAAAGCCAACCTGCTCATATCATCCTTATATCTAGAAATATTGAATATCAAACTTAAGAGCAATGAATACAAGGAAAAAACGTGAGATAAAGTTTAAAAAATTTGGCAAGCCTTCTGAAAAAATTCTTCAAATATAAGTATTATCAGCTATTGTATTGCCCAAAACATTCTTGCATTCTAAAAGAGAGTGCAGTTTAAAATAATTAGGATTCGAAAGAATTCATTCTTTCATTTCAGAATAAAGATAATGAAATACCACCTTAACAACATTGTGAGGGCTAAATCTGCACGTTGTAAACGTGTGCTTTCACATAACATTGGGTATTCAGCCTCGGAAACTAATAATTTCATCCCCAGTGCTTCTAACGCAACCTTCATAGCAAGTTGTTCATCAGACGGATTTCGTTCCACATCACTTTTCATCACAATACCACTCCCAGTACGACGCCTGGAAACTCCACTTTTTTAATGCTAGAAATTAGAGATACGATAATTTAATTTTGTATATCATGCATATGTCTCAAAAATAATAAATTACAAACGAAAAACTAAATCACCCTTGATAGGTAATCTGAGAAAAGGACAAGGAGTCTAGAATGTAATGACCCAAAGATATGGGTAAAACACAAAGTTGAGGTACAGCAGAAAGGAAACTGGCATTTTCCACAAAGTCTCTAGCTCGATCTCTGATTAACTGCAGCTCAGATGTTCCAATTTCTATTCTTCGCAATAAACCAATCAATTCTGTCTCCTAAAACTTACGTTTATGTTAATTTCTATAACAGCATTGTACCATCCTGCGATGTTCTAACTCAGAAAAAAGCTATCATCTATACTTTGTAAAAGAAGTTGAGAAGCTCACCAAAAAGTACAGTTTGACCTCAAGAAATCTGTTTACAGCAGGACTTCGAGGTAATTCAAGTATTGAAATAGCAAGTGTGAATGCCAATTGATGAGTTGTTGGCTTCTTCATCAAAGTTTGAACCAGGAATAATGTTCTGAAATTTACACAACAACCCTTAGAAGTGAAATATTGAAATCAACAGAATTTGGGATAACCTCATATATGTATCTTCTGCCAACTGGGACTTCTCAATATGATGCTCATCGAGTACAGAAGTTTCCGAATTAGAAATCGAAGAGCTTGGTGGTGAGAGCCTTCTCTTATGTTGCTGAGTCTGTAATTACCATTTGAACAGAGAAATCATAACCAAAGTCCTCCCGTTTAAAATGCTTTTACCCATATATTTAATTGAACACTTGAAATTCAGAACCAACCACAGAAAATTCCGACACACAACGTTCAGGTTGATACAATAAGTTCGGAGGACAATGTAGCATTTCTTGTGCAAGTTCTTCTGCTATTACGCATGCATGTTGTTCATAACCATGTGCCACCAAAGCCTCGCATTTTGAGAACTTTATATCCCAATTTGATTGCTGTACATGTGCGATTGCAAATAACTCATCAACGTCATTTTTCCGAAGCCTAACACTTCATAAAAACTGATTTTCACGAAATGCAAATAAAAAACGAGTTACAAAGAGCGATTAGAACTATTCCATATCTGCTTCGACAATAAAGAGAAGTACTAGAATATAGTACCAATAAATATTGTTTCAGACGTTTATAATTGAGAAATTCTGACTGCAAGAAACAAAAAAAAAAATCAAAATAAACACATTTCAAATGAAGGAGAACCTAGTAACAGAAACATCTGTTTGACTCTTCGGGTCACTGCTAGTACTGCTTTTAGATCTTGACGGACCAGTCTCACTTTCTTGTCCTGACTCACCGCTATCATCTAATTCTCCAGAAGTTACTTGACGTGTAGAGGACATAACACTTCGTGAAGAACGGGTAGAACCTTGGTCGCCATGGAAACTAAATTGATGTCCTCGACGACGATAGAGGCGAAATCTTTTTTTTCTCTTGCGTGACATCTTAACAAAACACTTTACTTTAACTAAAACTATGAAAAGTCATGCATGAAAACATGAAAATAATATATCTCTAAAACAGATGAAAGGCAGGAGTAACCTCTTGATGGATAGAGATACATTCTCCAATTTTAAACAAAGGTGGGCAATAAAATGATGTCCTTGCATCCACCACGTTAGAATCCTGAGAAACTCGCAGAGGCCGTTGGAGAATGGGAATGTTAGGACTATTAGTAATACCTATTAATACATGTGGTGCATGCGAGTTTGACAGCACCTAAAAATCAAATAGAAATTCTAAATATAGTGCATTCTTTACAGAGGAAGCAAAAGTCATGAAATTCGCAAATTCAAGCTGGACACGAAATTAAAGTACGTTACACGATCTGGTCCTGCTGGCAATCCATTAACGAATGTATTATCCCAGCTGATCTGACAAGCTTTCAAAGCGTTTAGAAATCCAGGGAATAATTCTGCCGTAAACCGAGCATTGTGCGCTGTTAAACGGTGCCCCTGTCTATCCGAAATTGTCAGGACAGAACTAGAAGGCTGCTGCAAGTTTGAAAAACTTTCCATCAAATGAATGCTAAATATGGGTACAAATCGAACTTTTCATCGAAACAATAAACAAGTTTAAAAGAATTACCGATGAAACAGCAGGGGAACTACCCAAAAAACAAATGTACTCCCAAATTCTATCAACAGCATTTCGATGATATATCTGAATGAAGTTCGCCAACTGAAAAAGTCAGACTAAATGCTATAAGTATTTCAGAAACTCAATAAACAATTTTAAAAAATGACAAATTTGATTAGTACGGATATCAATATGAGGTCGGTGCTACCTATGATCTATCTGTAGACTATAGCAATGAAACCCAATCCTTTTTTTTTAAATACACACCTGCTCTCTTTCAAGACATTGCAAACGTGGATTTAATGCAGCAATTTTCCAAAGCTGAACTATTTCATCACACAATGAAGAGCAGTTGATCTGAGGTGTTTTCAAATTCGACAGCAAAGAATTGCTTCTGCTGCAAAATGCCCATCGGCCCGAACGTGATAAAGCACCTTGGTACCACCAAGTCAAGACCTGATGTATTGTTATGGTATTAACAAAAACATAAGATGGTGTGAATACTTTACAACATAAATTTTTGAAAACAAAGTGTTTTCGCTCAGAAAGTTGCACATTAGAATTCATAACTCAAAAAAAATCTTAATGAGCAGAAATGCTGAGGATAACTGTCTACTGAAAAAAGGCAGAAAATGTATTTGTCTATTGAAAAAAAAAAAACATTCGAAATCAAGTAGACAATAGTTCCATCCAATATGCAAAATGCCTGTAGTTTCACACTTTCTTTATAACTCATATTTTGATGAACGAGATAAACAGAGTCAATAGCAATATAAAAATAAAAGTACGAACATGTGAGCATGCCATACATTCTTCCGTGATAATGTGCAACAGGCTAGTTGCATTTTCATCCCGTCGCCTGAACATTTCACGAACTATCGACAGAAGATTCCACAAGCCTTTAAGTAAAAAACTACATGTGTACTACTGATCAATCAGTTCGCAACAAACTGCTATCATATACCTTCAGGTTCTTTTGTCCTGTGTGGTCGGAAAAGACACGTCCATTCACTGGCTGTAGGTGGCTGATTCGACGATAAATATTGCACATCACTATGAACAATCAGAAACTTTTTAACGAGATCACTTATACCATTCAAATAATGAAAACGTTTATAAATGTTGGAGATAAAATTCTACATTGTTAATAATTCAATTTCAAAGATGCTTGAGAGCACAAAGAATCAATTAATCTCTCCTGATAAGCATTAAAAACATACCAGTGAACGGTCGGCCCAGGAATACAAAACTTTATCAGTATGTTATGAATGTTTTCATGAAGCGTACGCTGGTCCATGCACCAAATAGCAACATTTTCATGACCTCCGTCAGTTGGATCTGGCGCACCAACAGCGAGATTTATTTCTGATTTAGGATCTCGCAAATGATCGATCAGACGTTGAGCCACGGGCAAGTACTTCAAATAAATTTAATATTCCCAGGAAATTAATGAAGTGGATTAAAAACCGTTGACAGAAGTTCACATTTTCTCAACACGCACTTGTCGAGGAAGATCATTGATAAGAAACTGGGCTAATTTTTTCAATTTTTCGTTCGTAAGTTCGTTGATAGAATCCCAAATTGTAACACGATACTCCACTTCATCACTTCTATGCAGTCTATATAAACATAAAGCCACAACGTGTTGACACCATGATGCTTTGAAAACGCATGAACAACTGCATGATACCACGCGACATCTAGAAAGAGCATGTGCATTATAACGATATTGGGACTAACCATCCAGATGTCTGATCAGTAAACACCATAACAAGCTCATAGCAATTTTCATGTCAGTCATAATTAGTATGTAATGATAGCAAGCAATTTAAACTGCTCTATATGTAATGAATAGTAGCGAATTAATGAACAAAATACCTGTCAACTTGTACGGAGACATTATAAGTTCCCGCTTTTGAGCGACTAGGAGGGACAGCTTTTCGAGTATCTACGGTTAATGCACCTTTCACATTCACTACACCGGAAATATGGTAACCTGTAAATAATTTGAATCTATAAAGAAACAGTGCTTAAAATTTAGTCTATTTGGAACCATACATTAAAAATGATACACATTAAAATAAAAATTCTTTCAACTAAAAGTGTTTGAGACTTGAATAGGCAAAATCATCATAGAAAGTAAGAACGAAGAGATTTCGAAAAATAAACTACATTCTGAAAAATTCTACATAACTTTGAATTCTACAAACCTATCTGGAAAACATCTTGTACTGCACCCGTCTGGTACAGATACTCGCCCCTATCAAATTCATCGGAGCTGCCATTGGCCAAACAACTGAATTAAACAGTTTCACACGTTCTAACTTCAGTTACAACAACGCATGAATGTACTTTTATAGAGCATCATCGTTCAATATTAAAAAAATTCAAATCAAGTAATTAACAATAATCTACTTACACATTTGCAAATTAATTCTTCATCGTAAAAATCTCTTACCTGTATAAGCGCACATCTGCTTCATTATCAGGAAAACACCATCGTATTATCCCCAAGAAGAACTTATCAGGAATGGCACTGTGCTCCACGAAATCACTTTCAAAAATTACAATATTACTATCTTCAACACTTCTGAGAAGGTTCATCCGCCTTCTCTCAGCTGAGATCGCATGATAAGATGTCTCCAACATTTGGAATGAATAATTGCGTGCGGTAACACGAGCAGCTAAGTCAACTAGAGTACGTACTTCGTTTCCTGAAAGTAATGAACCCAAGCTCAAATAAATATATGTAAGACCGGAACTGAAGGAATTTACGCTCATCCACTGTAATCAGCAACTAGTCTAGTGATGCTAGCCTGTAAAAACTGGAGTAAAATTGGTTGTTGAGGCAGATGAAGCCATGTTCGCCGCATTAACTGATGAAGATAGTGGACGCCAACGAGACTGTGATGATGAAGTAATACCCCCAGTAAAACGTAACAACGAATTAGGTGAACAACCTGATCCATCAACATAACCATGTTCTAAAATGACCCGAACTACTTTTCCAGACATCACAGATTAATGCTGCCAGTTCAAAGTTCTTACCGACTGCATTATGTGCTGTTGTATTTTCAGAACACCATCCTCGCCAATTCTGATTTACTGATTCTGCATCTGACATCCATGAACACAATGAATCCTCCTCAAACCGTTCAGAATCCTTAATGATACATTTAATTACGCTATTTACCTGATACTAAGGCTATTAGAATGATTAAAAATAGTAATAACGGATTTGGCTTCAGAGAGCGTGAAAAGTTTATTTACCCAATAGTACGTGAAAGCAGAGGAATGGGACTTATGATGAAAGCAATAGCGGTAACAGTATGAGAAAGAAATAAAAGAAAATCAAAAATGGATGGGTCATAAATATGTCATAATGTGAGATTGCATATGTCTCTTAATAATGTTAAGTTTAAATTTCAATGAATCATTGTTTAAAGTTCGTGAATTTTCTGATAATATTGTCCTGAAGTGATTATACGCATATTAAAAAGCAGTTATACCACATAATAATGAGGAGCTTCGGCAATGTTTGAAATAATATTTTAAATGCAGTTACTTCAAACGAGAAATGATCATCTTCGTGGGCTGCAACCGCGGCTCTTTCTGCTTGTACACTTGCAACAAGTCTATGCTCAGCACCTGCCGCACGCATCAACCATACGTCATGGGGGTTTAACTCTGCTTGCTGAAATATGAAATCGTGTTTTATAAATTTTACTAATAAAGCTAAGGATAGTTTTCATAATAACAACAAGTATATTATTATACTACTATTGACAATAGTAATGATCACAAAGGTAGGAGAGATAAAAAGTTAACTCCAACTACTGATTACAGCAGGTGTAAGAGTAATACGTGGGATGACAGCGAGGAAGCCAAGAACTCACAGTATTAGCAAGTGCTGGCATAGAAGGGATGGGGAGTAACGTGTGCACTCTCACTCAGTCACTAACTGTCCCTGTTAACAAGAATGAGAGGAACAGGCATGTAGTGGATAGCAGCAGGTTATTGAAATGTTTCAAACAGAACCTGTCCGTTCGGTTCCCTTTCTCCGTTTTGCAGTATCCACAAGTCTCGCCCAGCTTCTCGCAACTCCCGCACCCCGTTCTCATTAGCTACTACCTCTTCCCCTTGTCTGTTCACTACCAGCATCTCTCTTTCTTCTCCTACTTCTGCATTCGCATTCGACTCCCTCTCTTCATCAACCATTGCTGCTCCTCTCCGTCTACTTGCCGCCACTACTTCTGCTTCTGCTCCTGCTTGTGGACTCAGTCCCGAGTCTCTTTCCCCATCAGCCATAACTGCACCCTCTTCTCCGTTCCGCTCCTCATTCGTATTTACTACTGAAGCGTCTTCCTGATCCATAACAGTTACACAAGATTTACGTCGAAATTCTATCCTTTCCAAACACGCTGGAAAATAAAAAAGTTGACAAAAATGAAGATAATTACAAACCGTCACAATTAAATAACGGCACAAACGCTTTACTACTCAGAAACATGAATTATGCAGAGTACTTACATCTACTGCCAATCACTTACAAAAAAAAAAGATGAATATGAAAGAAAAAACCTATCACCAAAATTTATGCTTGATAAAAATTTGGTGACACTCAGTTAACAAATTCATTAGGATGTTAAATAATTTTAGACAGACATGAAATTAATATTATCAACAGACGAACTACACATTCTCTTTCACACAAATCATATCATATGACCTTGTGAAAAGCGACATCATTTCAACCTAAATTTTTTACCTAAACATGTGTCAAAACTATCAACTAGTTTAGCATGAAGCAAGATTAAGCTTGTACCCTAGCTATTTGTAGACAACAATGCAAGCAGTAATAAACCTATGCATTTGCTGATGTAAAATAAGGTCATAAATTACAGGGTTGCAAGAACTCATGTAAAAATAGACAGTGCAGTAAGAATAAAATCACATATTCGTTAAAAATGAATCTACGTTGAAGTATGGATAGAAAAAATTTAATGAAAATTGAAACAGTCCTTAGTACTACTGCACTCACGAGTAATTTATTGCTACCATTAACAGCCCTTTATGTGACTAAAGAAAACAATCCATACAACAAATTTGAGACGAAATATTTGACTTTGTAGTATTGACTACTGATTGGTTAAATGACCCGAAAGAAATTTTAAAAAATTAAAGCAGGAAGAATTGTGAGTTAAAATTTACATACTTGAAAAATGCTCCATCCTATTTATGCAAATGTTTTCGAAATACTTCATTTTCAGAACTACAGACAATAAATTAATTCGAAAAATTCGAAAATTTGAAGTTTTTTTTACATGGTGGTGTGCAATGATGACAGAACAGAATGCAAATTATTATGAAAATAGAAATCCTCAAGAATTAATGGCGTTGAATGAATGCTACAAATCTATAAGCATGAAAAACTCCACTTTTTTTACCTTTCAAATCAATGAAATAGCAACAGCCTAACTGTTAAGTTTTAATTATACGAAGACATATACATCAATATTACAAGTTAACATGCACAGTCGCATTTGTATTTAAAAATGAGATTTTACAAGCATTCTTTTTACAATCACAGCTTACTAACAAGCATTTTGTTACCATCAACAATATAAATCAGACATAATAGATCGAAACTGGCATTTGAAAGTACGCGCACAGACATGCACATACACAAGCAATAGGCCTCTGTAATTGTCCATTATATTACCTCACTCATATACATACTACGCATCCTCCAAAAAGTATTTCGCAAGCAATCGGTCAAAGTCGTTTTACTGTACGTGAGAAAATTGATTAAAAAATGCAAACATTAGGCATGAAAAAGTTAAATATAACATTCTTTCTATAAAACACGGAACGTAACAAAATAATTTAAGCTTGAAAGCAAGCAGCAATCATCGCAAACGAATCACGTCAACAAACTCCCCAAATTGGAAAAGGAACAGATAAATAGATAGATGGATGGACGATGTATGAATAGGTACTTTACATGGAGATAGCGAGTTACAATTGAATTACTAGTAATGCTAACCCTGTTTGCCTTCAAATATTACTGAGCGTGCACGAGCACATACGCGTGCCTGCGACAATCTTAGATGCCATCGTTTGACCGTAACTGCTCATACTTGCAATTTAAGCAGCTAATTAAATTGTCTGCAGTCTGAATGACGCACTCATTGTAGAGCACACAAATATGCAAATAAGTCAACCCTATCAGTGCTGTGTCAGTCGCACATATTTGAATAAAAAATGAGCTACGTGGACTGACATTGATACTTATCGCCTTTTGCTTCTCAAAAGTCAAACACGTTTGCTCCAAGAATAACAATATAGACAATATAAATAATAATGACAGTAATACTAATTACAATAGTAACAACAACAATAATGCGGTTAATTAAGCAGAGCAAGTGTTAAACTATTATTCATCAGTCCATCTTTTGTCTATTGTCTTACTCTTACTCCACATCTTACTCCTCATTACATTAAAGCTATTCGCATCACTAATCCTGTCTAATTACTCATTACGCAATCATTTCCTCATTTACTCACCTATTTGCTTACTAATTACTTATCACTAGAGGAGGAACCGACATCCCGACCAGTCGAGTCAAACACAACAACTACTTTACCTCTCGTCACTGGCCATTCCGATTGACAATGTGCAAATCAATAAACGTACACATTCACACAAACATACGCCCACAATTCACACATACAGACACATACACGTCAGAATACGTCAGTATTCGAAGGCGGTGCTTTGCTATAAGCCGATCGGAAGTGGCGGTACATCGTGAGAACAGCACACATCGCTGTTCTTTTGCTTTTTTTTTTCTCTAAGGACATTTATTTATAAGTCTGATTCTACACCTCTTAATTTTTTCAGTTCTGTTTGTACGATTGCTCATTTCCATGGATGATAGTTTGTTAGAGTCTGTTCATATCTGCTGTACATGATTTAAACATGGGCATTTATTCATCTACACTTATGTGTCTGTGTCTGTGTCTGTATGTGTCTGTGTCTGTATGTGTGTGTGTGTCTGTATGTGTGTGTGTGTCTGTATGTGCGTGTATGTGAAGTGCACAGGATATTTCAATTTGTACTCACAAACTCGCATCATTAATTGTTGCTGTTAGCTCCTCCTCTCATAGTTTTGTACAACCGAGTCGTTTTTGTGTGTCTGTATATCTGCATATTTTCACTTATGTTCATTCGTATACTATATTTACAAGCCTAATTTTATATGCAAATATGAGTTTCATGACTTACAAATTACTTCGCAAAATCAATTAATGCTTCAGCAGTGTTTAACAAAAGTATTTTGAATGAGCATTAAAGACAAAAGAAGAACAGTACTAATAATGCTAATAATCTTTCATTTCTTTAGCAATGGCCTAAATAGCTCAAACAAAAGACTAGATATTACAGAGATATGATAATTATCACAAGCGAAATATTGTACGAGAATTAAGCAAGCAATGATCATATTTTCTTTGGTATGTAATCGCTAATCACCTGTTGATGGCAGATTGCTATCTCAACACTCTCTATAAAATATGGCTTGTCATGATCAAGCAAGTGAGGTAACTAATCATTCAGAACATGAACATTTGCGACTCAATTTCGGCGCAGTTTCACTCATATGTTTGCTTCTGTTATCCTTAAAATGAAGATCAAATCATCATTAATGTTGCCAAGATTAAATCGTGGATAGTGGCAAATGTTCAGCAATTCAGTTTTCATTCTTTTAATATACCTAATTTTTTTTGTTTCGTGAACATCTTGTCAAGAAATAATTTTTCGTCATCATAAATCAGATGAAACTAGTAATTTTACACTACTCAAATAAATATTGACCATACAGAATAGAACATTTCAGAAATTTGAGGGTAGAACATTTCAGAAACTTGAGGATAAAGAATAAGTATTGAGAAGGTGAAAAAGGTTTCAGTCATAAATCGGACATCTGGTGTATAAGACTAAACACCAATAGCATTCTAACTTATCATTAATGCATTACCATTTACTCATTGATAAAGTATCCCAAAAAATCCCGAACTAACACTTTGTAGCTCATCACTTCAGCTTCTTCTGGGAGTACTGTTTTACATGTTGCTTAAAGTCAGTCAGTTTGCAAAGAACTTCACACATGTTTTTGCTAATATATAGAACAAGACAGATTTTTAATGGAAGCAAGATATCGAGGAATTTAAAAAAGCGCAAACGATCAGCATACTTGTTTACTTAATCAAACATTAGACTGCACACCTTTGCTGAGATTTATGTACCATATCTGTTTGATTTTTGGATTCTTTTTTTCAGTTGTCTTGTCTTCATGCAACATTCATGCTAATCTTTCTGATGACTGCTTGCTTTATCCGTAAATATAGCGTTACCCCGCGCCCAAGTTTTTCATTACGAAATTCTCTAGTATCTATTAAAATTTTTCGCAGTATATGAGTTATTTGTGTTCATTAACATATGAGGAAAGTATTGATTCCTTTCCGTTTTTTTGTACAACATAATTTGGAATGATTACTCAACACCATAGCTTTGAAAGCATATATATGGTCAAGAACAAGGCATTAATAATGATGTACACGTACTACAATATACATACGGGACACGATCAATTTAAGTTGATTTGATATCTATTAATATAATACCCATTCCTGTCTTCATCCATAGCTTCATGTCATGCCAGAAGTTAAAATACTAATATCCATACATACATGACAAGCAAGGGATTTAGCCATGATCATGGGTTCGATGAGTTGCATACTGCTACCAAGCAGACATTACAGATCATCAAAAATTGCAAAAGCTTTCCAGAAATTACATTATGATTTGTAAATAGTGGATGTGGAGTTTGGTAAAATTTCAAGCTTATTTTCGTTCTGCGATATCTCAACTTTAGAGATATTATAGATTAATACGTATTGATAGGATAAAACTATTAAGTATCTCTTAAACTTTAAATTAACGGTGACATACTTTGAATAGTCTTAATAATAATCTTAATATTCACTTTTTACATCAAAAGTGACCTTATATTGTAAATGTAACCCATAGAAATGTTTGATATAATCCAGAGTTGATTTTCCGTATTGCATGTGTTTACAGGCCTTCGGTTTTTAAATCTATTAATGATGCAACTGAAACAGTTTGTTTTTGGTACTTTAGAAAAAGCTCATATTTTTTGCGCAAAGAGCAGTTAATTTTACCCTTATTTAGTCTAGATTCAAGAACTAAAATGACAACGAATTTAAGTGGCCCATGTCCACTTGCCATTTATATCAGATTACTCTTGAACATAAATGATTTCGGACTTCTTTATTTGTTATTGTTCTATTAATTTCATTTACGAGCGGATATTCAAAACCTTGTGATATAATGAATTACTTTTTGCGCCGAAATAAATTGTGGAGGTTGTAAACTTACGTTATATGATTTTAGTTATTTACAATTGTTTATTTTTCTAATGGTTGAGATCCATGTAGGTTAATTAACAGTGGAGAATGGCTGTTGATCACCTCATTGACTCATATGTTCCTTACACAGTGAAGCCAGTAATTTCACATATTTATGCTGGACCATTCCTGTTTTTGTACATATGTTGGGCCTACTTGTGGTTTTTTATTTATGGTTTAAATGAATATTGGGAGTTAGGGTGTATCGTCATGGCTGCTATTGGTATTTTACAGGTACATTTCCACTTCGTAGAGAAATGACTAAAGTTGTTGTAATTGGCTCAATATTTTTCATTAGCTTTTGAAAGCATTGCAAGGTTTCTTAACTAATTGTTTCAGGTTTTGACGGTCTTGTTTTGCAACTGGTTTGTCAGTATTCATTGCCTGCTCACTTGTTCATTTGTAATTTTTACTTTCATTTTTGTATTTCTTCAGTTTCATGAATATTTTGTTCAGAAAAATTTACAAGGCCATGGACTATTAAAAATATATCAATTAATTGATATTGTTCCGCGGAAGTTATCTGGAATATTTCAATTAATTCGTAAGGGTCTAATGCATATTTGTCATTTTTAGGAACCCGATATACAAAGGGCTTCAGTTGTAAAAGTTGTTCCAACTCCAAATAATGGATGGTCAGAAGTGGTACCTTTGCGAAGGACGAAAGTATGTTTTACAGCCACCTGATTCGTGTTACTTTGTTCTCGTAATTGGAAGATTAGGATAGAATTTAATTATTGTGACATTTCAAATATTTAAGGACAGAGAATCAATGAAATGTTAAACTGTAGTTTGTTGGATTTTAACGGGTATTATGGTAAATAAAGTTGATACTAATTTCCAGAGCTCTAATGCCGCGTTTTTTCAAAATTTTTTGAAGGAGTGAAAGAAGATAGTAGCCGCAAAAGTCGGAATCATGATAGTTTTTAATATATCATTTTATTTCTGCCTAAGATTTATAGCACTTGAGATAAAAGAGTATTTTAAAGATTTTTTTCTTTATAATAATAATTATTGTTATTATTATCATTATTATTAAGCGAGGGAGTGACAGTGCTTTTGTTTCATAAATTGTAACTTATTCTGGTTTTAGCTTTAATATCAAAATGAGCTCTAAACTACTAGAATAAACTTCGTCTAAATAAATTATAGCGTGAGATTTTAGTGTTTTTGTAATACCGATATTGTTGCGTCTTTTTTATTTATTAAATAAGATAATATACTGGAGTTGTTTATCGCTAACTTCTACATGAAGATATTTCCTCAAAAAAGTTTTAAGTTCTATAATTCGGTTAATCAACAAAGTAAGTAAATAAAAAAGATTTTAATCTTATTGGTAAAGATGAGCAAAATATGCTTAGTATGTTGCATGGTGCATTTTATGCAGATATAAAGATTTTTAGCTAGTAACTGGGAAAATGAAGTTATGGTTCGAGTTTCAAAAGATTCATTATACTTTCGTTCTGGAAAAGAAAACCTTTGTTGCTTTGGAACTTGATACAAATCAGCCAATGTCGTATTTTCAAGAGTCGCGTGGGCTTGAAACTGATGAAGCTATCATGGAAAGAAGACAGGATTTGGGAGACAATAAGTAAGTTGTTTGCTTTCTTTGGATGTCATAAAAAATATTAACTGGGAATTGCTGAATGAATTAATTTTAAGAATGGAAATGGTTATTCCTCAGTTCATGGAACTCTTCAAAGAGCGAGCTACGGCACCGTTTTTTGTATTTCAGGTATTTTTTGTAAAACATGGATTTAATTCATGATTGTTCTAATTAGTGTATTCTCAATAGACAGTGCTAGCTGCCGAAAGTTGTCTTTTTTATGAAACGCCATAGAATAATCACTTTCATATTATATTTTTAGGTTTTTTGTGTTGGTTTATGGTGTTTGGAGGATATGTGGTACTACTCGTTATTCACATTAATGATGCTTGTGACATTTGAAGCAACGCTTGTTAAGCAGCAACTCAAAAATATGTCAGAAATTCGTAATATGGGCAATAAACCCTACCTTATATATGCTTATAGACATAAACGTTGGAATCGTATCAAAAGTGACGAATTAATTTCGGGAGATATCGTTTCTATAAGTAGGTTTTGTTGGAAAATATCGGGAAATAGTATGTATAGGTATAATTTCAGCATTTTTGATTTGCAACACAATCAAGTTGTTGATCAAACAGCAAGATATTTCTAGACCGTTCACCAGATGAGAAGGCTATTCCGTGTGATTTACTATTGTTAAGAGGTCGTTGCATTGTGGATGAATCTATGCTTACAGGAGAAAGTGTTCCTCAAATGAAGGTGGTGATGTTTATGACTCTCTTTATTATGGCAGAGTGTGTTTTATGAATTATCAAAGTTTATCTTTCGGAATTATAACTGATTCCAGCTTGCAGGAACCAATCGAAGATGTTGAAAAATCGCAGTATTTTGATTTCGACGTAGATAGTCGTTTACATGTCATTTTTGGTGGTACTAAAGTTGTTCAGCATACTTCTCCAGGTTATTTAATTCAGTGAAAATATCAGTTGTCTTTATAAATGATTATAGAGCTTCTTTTACTTCAAACTTTATCACTTGTGACGTTTTGTGATGCGTGCTGGTGTATTAGTGCTGTTGGCATCAGAAATTTTCAGGCCTCACAATGGCCTGAAATATAAGGGAAAATTAAGTTGGAACTGCTTGAACTTATTACAGTCTAACGATACGTATGTGATGTAATATCTCGTGATACATATGTGATTGTGTCAAAATTTCAAATTCTTTTAAAGCAAAAAACGAAGCCGGTATTAAAGCTCCTGATGGTGGGTGCATTTGTTATGTATTACGAACTGGATTCAATACGAGTCAGGGAAGATTATTGCGTACTATTATGTTTGGCGTAAAGCGTGTTACCGCCAATAATTTTGAAACATTCGCATTTATATTATTCTTGCTAGTATTTGCTATCGCTGCTGCTTCTTACTTGTGGATCAAGGGTATCAGAATCTTTTTTAATTATCTAGCTTTGTTGTGGGTATCTCTTATTCTTTTAAGTGAAAAGTTTGTTATTTTTCTTCTTCCAGGAAGAGAGGATGAGTCGCGCAGTAAATACAAGTTATTTTTGGAGTGTTCACTTATTTTGACTAGTGTTATCCCTCCTGAATTACCTATAGAGTTATCACTTGCTGTAAATAATTCGTTGATGGCACTACAAAAACTTGGTAATGCATTTTAGCATTTTTTCACATTTATATCGTCGATGAAATTTCGTAATGCTCGCTTCGATAGGAAGTTAACTTTTCGAAATTTTTTCATATTTAAAGTGTTTTCTAAGCTGTTCGCTTATTTTAGGTGTCTTTTGCACGGAACCATTCCGTATCCCGTTTGCTGGAAAAGTTGATATTTGCTGCTTTGATAAAACTGGAACATTAACTACTAGTAATTTAGTTGTTGAAGGTAATTATATTGTTATCAACAATAAAGCAAAATATTGTTACTTCTACTTCATTTCATTACATCGAAACTATAAGTCAGATCCTTTAAAGTTTTTGTTAGCGTATTGTTATCACTATTCAGTTTTACAGGAGTGGCTTCTACAGAAAATGGATGCTCAGGTGATGAGTGCCACATTTATCGTTTATCGTCTGAAGCTCCCAGAGAATCAATACAAGTGTTAGCAACGTGTCATAGCTTGGTTCGATTTGATGAGGATTTAGTGGGTGATCCATTAGAAAAAGCATGTCTAAATTGGGCAGAATGGAGTCTGACAAAAAGTAATTTCAAATCATTTTGTTACGCAATTCCCTGTTCAGTAGGAATGATGTATAAAAGTCAGTCACTATTCTTTAATATTACTCTGTACTTTTTATAGATGATTCAGTAATTCCGAAAAAATCGAAGATGCAACCGTTGAAAATCTTACATCGGTACCATTTCTCTTCATCTCTTAAAAGAATGACAGTGGTTGCTAGTTATATTGCGACAGGAACAAATGAAACAAAGCATATCGTAACTGTCAAAGGCGCTCCAGAAATGCTGGAGAATATGGCAAGTGTTATACCGTTATCTTGTCCTTTTTTTCCAAACTGTTGCTCTATCTTTTCAATGTTCTTTAAATAGCATAAATTGTTTATAATCATAAAATATAGATGGTTATTTTATTGTAGTATGAAACAGTGCCTGAAAACTATATCCAGACATATCGCCATTTAGCTCGACAGGGTGCTCGTGTTCTTGCTTTGGGAACTCGAGAAATTGGATCTCTAACTCACCAAGAGGTGCATTTTGTTAATTTTCTTGCTTTTAATTTTTATTACAATTGAAATCTGTGGTACCTTCGACTTTTAATTTTTTTTCATATTCAATAATCTGGCATTGATTTTTCATTATTTTATTGACTTTTTTTTAGATTCGTGATCGAAAGCGTGAAGATTTTGAAAGAAACTTGGTATTTGCTGGTTTTGTTGTAATATCGTGCCCCTTAAAACCAGACACCAAAGCAGTGGTGAAAGAAATTATGGAGTCATCCCACAAAGTTGTGATGATCACTGGTGATAATCCTTTAACTGCTTGTCATGTTGCTAGAGTTCTTCATTTCACCAAGAGCTCAAAATCTGTACTTATTTTAGATGAACCACAAGGTCTGGTCTTTATTTGGCATACCGGAAACTTTTTTAAATCTAGTGGATGAACTCAGAGCACTGAGAAATATTTAGAGCTCTGCAGTGTATGTACTTATTCGTCGTAATAAGTAATCCTGAGTATTTACACTTTCAGAAAGTTTCAGCGTTCGAGAAAGTGTCATGTTGAATTTAGTTGTTCATTACTACTTTGTAATTCTCAACTAATCATTCTGAGTTCTTTTCATGAGTTGAGTCTGAATCTTGCAGATCATGAAAAATGGACTTGGAAATCGGTAAATGATGACAGTGAATTTAGTTTTTTGCCATCTTTAAGTACTGAAGTATTATCTTTTATCAATGAACACGAATTCTGTATTACTGGCCAGGTTTTCTGTCTGATTTGTTGTTTTTTTAATTAAAGTTTATAAGGAAAAAGGGTTTCAGATTTTTTCATTCATCAAGTAAAGGAAAGAAAGTTGAAAAGCATTCGATAGTTTATCAGCTTCAGAGTTCGATATTCATGCATGAGATATCATATTATTTTAAAATATGTGGGCATTAAGTTTCCAGGCTTTTATGCATCTACTTAAAAATCATTTCAAATTTCTACGATGTATCATCTCGCATATTAAAGTATTTGCAAGAATGGCTCCCAAGCAAAAAGTAAGTTGATATGATCACACTTTTATTTCGTTTTGCATTCTAAACATTCTCTGCAAAATTATTTGATCTGTTTTTAGGGAATATTTCTTCTATATAGTACACCATAAAATATAACTTAAACGATAATTAGTTGTTTTTTGCAACTTTACATATGACACTTTGGTTTTCGACTTTGGTCAAATTTAGGAACGAGTTATAACTGAGCTTAAAAGCCTTGGATATGTTACGCTTATGTGTGGAGATGGTACAAACGATGTTGGAGCACTAAAGCATGCCGATGTTGGTCAGATTTTAGAGCTATTGTCATTTTCAAATATAGTTTTTTAAAAATGTTTCATTTTCTCACTGTTCAGAACATGTACTACGTAAACTTCATAATATAAGAGAAAAGAGTTTAAAGAAGTTTTGATGTTTTATTGTTTGCAGAAATCTCATGATTTCATTTGAGAAAAATATGGCTGGTAATTTTTGCTTGACCTTTTTTTAGGCATTGCATTACTCTGTCATCCATATGATGCTTTAAAAATTGAGAAGAAGAGAAAAGAAGGAATTGGTTCTCATGTGCCTTCAGACAACGTTTATCAAGCTTTTCATTCTAATTCAATGGTGAATTCGAACATTTCATCAAGCCTTCTCAGGAAATCTACCGGACAGTACTCTGGTCGAAGAGTAGATGCACCTTCCGGTGCAAGACAAATCAAGTTTCATTTTCTCATTATTCAGAACATATACTACGTTAACTTATAATATATGAGAGAGGACTTTGAAGAAGTATTATTGCATGCAGATTCCTTTTTTGTTTTCATATTTTAAGATTTCTTTTGGTTTTTTCACAAATATCCAAATTATAATGATTAAAATAAACATTTACATGTTAACGGAAAGTTTATCCTCATACGATTGATCTTTCATGAAGCAGGAGGTTAATTCATCATTAATTAACCATGATCATGAGACTCGTTCATTTGCTTCACAGTAACCAACAGGCGGATCTTGAACATTTTAACTTGTGACGGAAGATTATTTTTCCCAAATAAATATTACAATATTTTATTTGTTTTTAATTTCTTAATTATATGACTCACTAATATCATGTTTACGCGATACTGTTCAGGCATAGTCCTAAACCAAATATTGCTGTGAAGCGGCTTGAGCGGATGATGAAGGATTTGGAAGAAGAAGAAAAAGTCCAAGTTGTACGACTTGGTGATGCATCAATTGCAGCACCGTTTACATCGAAATATACATCTATACAATCAAGTGAGGTTTTTAATGCTATTCCCAGAGTTTTAAAATGATTATTTCTAATACTGTTTTCAGTATGTCACGTTATCAAACAAGGACGCTGCACTTTAGTCACAACATTGCAAATGTTTAAAATACTTGCTCTGAATGCTCTGGTGCTAGCCTATAGCCAGAGTGTGCTTTACCTCGATGGGATAAAATTTTCAGATACGCAAGCCACAGTGCAAGGCCTTCTTCTTGCTGCATGCTTCCTATTTATTTCGAGGTCAAGAGTGAGTGTTTTCTGTTTATTAACTATATTGTTTATGTCGTAACCAAAAAAACCATTACACCAGATGTTGTGCAATACCTTTCTCGGTTACAGCCACTAAAAACACTTGCTAAGCAGAGACCCATACCTAACATATTCAATGCCTACACGCTGTTGACGGTTTCGTTTCAATTTATGATACATTTTGGATGTCTAATATATGTGGTGCGTCAGGCTCAAATAACTGAACCTCAGTAAGCGATAATTTATGTTCACTTAACAGTTTAACTTGAAATAATTAGAATTTTTTGTGTTGGTATTACTTGTGACTCTTTGCTAGTATTTTAGTGAAAAAATCGATTTGGAAGCGCAGTTCAAGCCAAATTTGCTCAATACAGCAGTTTATCTGATGGCAATGGCGTTGCAAGTGGCTACATTTGCTGTAAATTACAGAGTTCGTTTAATTTTGGTTTCTTAAAGAATTGATCCTCGGTCATTTCTCAAAGGATAGAACGTAAACATCTTTGTTTTAAAAGGAAGTACAGAGGGAGTGAGTTTACTCCTCGAAAGTTCCTGAAGATATACCATTTCGTTTTTTTATCAGCTACAATTGTACATGTTTATTCATTACAAAAAGTTCTAGACCATGTTTTGGGTCCTGTGTACAGCAAAGATTTTGCTACTATTGGAGATGTAAAGTGCGCGTTTAGTTCATGGCATGTTCCTCAGTGCAAGAGTCCATAAGGATAAGATCTAGAATTAGTATGGCGGAGCCGCAATTAATTTGAAAGCCCATGGTGTAAAAAGCTAGAAACTTTGTGCTATTGTAGCACTTTCTAATCAACCTGATTTTGGATAAAAATTATATTATCATGGCTTCACGTGTCTTACATTCAGGGTCGTCCTTTCATGGAAAGTCTTCTGGAAAACAGATCTATGCTTTATAGTTTATTGGTTTCCGGGTCTGCTGTATTTGTACTGGCTTCTGGTATCTTTCCAGAATTAACTGAAAAGTTCGAACTGGTCGAATTGCCATTTGAAGTAAGCTGAAAGTTTTTTCAGTTATATCTACATAGATCATTTTTGTGGTATGATTTTTTAGGGTGTAGATAGAATGCATGGTTTTATTATGCAAGTTCTTTCACAAGTTGGGTCATTATTTAATTGTCATTATCAGTTCATTCTGAAATTTATTAAAGACTTTTTCAGTATCGACGAGCATTATTAAGCTGCATAGCAGCAGATTTGTTAGCTTGTTTTACAATTGATCGGGTGCTGTGTTTCCTGTTTGGTGACATGAGATCTGCGTAACATTGGCTACATTCAATTCTGTCGTAACTGATGCTTGATAAACATTACTTTTATGCAAAAAAAAAAATGCTTTTCTTATCTAGTGTTCAAGGTTTTCATAGATCTTGGTCAATTTCAAAATGAAATTGTAGTTTTTAATACTAAATAGTTTTATAAGAAATCTTGCTTTTCCGGAATCATTTCTTTTTATTCTAATGAATGAGTTGACATAGCTTCCAGAAATTTTATGAGAGTAACTGTTATATTAGAATTTGTTTATTACATCTATTCTTATCTGTTTCCCTATTTCCATGACATTGTAATGGTTATAGTAATGTGTAAGGATGAAGTGTTTGGGAAGTGGCATTTTTTACATGGGGCGTTTTAAATGGGGCTATAGGTTACTGCTTTATAGTTTCACCATAATTCTGCATCCGTTATGATAAATTCTTGATGGGTAAGAGTTCTCTGCTGTTCGCTATAGAAGATTTTTTATAGCAAATGAAGTTGATATAAGTTGGTTGTTTTTATTTGTCTCAATTTATAATGCTGGTATTCCAAGAATAAATTATTGGAGTACAATACTGATGTAGTAGGTGTTTGGACGGCTGGTTCTGTTCTGATCGTATTAACCATTGCGCTGAATCTGTTGTGCGGATATTGATATCACATTGAAAGGGTGTTTTCGTACTATTGTTCCAATTTTTTTATTCTGTGATAGCAGTTGTTCTGTCTGAATCATGTTGTTGAGTGTGAATTATCTCAATAAATTTTGGGATTCCTTGTACAGCATTTTATGATAGTTGGTATGTAATTATTTTTAATTTGGCAATGTATGTGGTATTTTCTAGTCGTATCAGTTATTGAATGCTGTTGCACTTCATATTCAAAGTCCAGGGTTTGTATGCATTGTCTTTTTACTGCATCTTTTTTACACGACAGACTTATCTAAAGTGGGTGCTTACAAATTCTATATTTTTTGGTATTAGGTTAGCAGTATGTCACGCCTGTTATCTTTATATGTGGATTTATAATAATGAGCTTGATTCAGCTGACTGATGAAGTATATGAAGACAGTAGTCACTTGTTTATCCGGACACATTAAAATGACATGGAATGATTGAAGAAAGATGCAGTATTTTTATGTGAGATAAACAGATTGTGAACATTTTCTATAGTTCTCTAATTTTACATTTATGATCTCGTCCTTCTCTCATTAATTGTTGTGCAATGCAGTACAAAGACTATAAACAATTTAGAAGAGGGTTTTATACAATAAGAATCATGATGTGGAAGATGTAGGTCTGTCCCACCACAGAAGTCAGGTAAGATGGTAAGACAACAAAACGAACAAGACGACAAGTTTTCTGATATAGTTCTGATGTAGTATTATAATGTTAGCAGTTTTATAAAATTTAATTATATAGTGATAAGAAAGTGACACAAAAACAAGCTAGATGGAAGGTCATAAAGAAGCAGAGATATTATTTCCATCATCATTTGTTTCAAGTTGAATATCGCCAAGCAGCGTAGTTACAAGCTCAATTTCTTCATTCCACAGCCACTGTAGCTGTTCAGGTGATTTGTCTCTACTTTCAATAAGTTGCTCGCACAATAATTGTAAAACGGTAATGATATCATCATCAGTTGCTTTTTCGACTTCTTTGTAAATCTCTTCTGCCCATTTATCCCTTTATTGCAGCAAATGTTATACTTTTCAAAGGTGATTTTCATGTCTTTTAAACAACATATAGGCTGCAGTACAGTTTTTCAATGGAAATCAATTACTTATCTTAATAGGAAAATTCTAGGAGGAGACTGATTACTTACAACTTTGAGCTACTCATTCTTAAAAGTGTCAAATTCGCTTTGAGTCCGAAATTCGCTTTTGAGTCAGAAGCATACACGGTACTGAAAATAAACTAACAAAATCTTGCAATTGGGCCATTTTTAAAGTACAAAATGCTTAGTTTTATGTTCAGTCGTTTCGATTACTCAACAGTCATCTCCGAACGTCCAATTCGGTTATTGAACTATTACCTCTGACTGTAGCAAGATACGTAAGGAATGCGTCAAATAATTTCAAAATTTTCTAATACTTCTTTTTCCTTGAATCATAATACTAAATGAAAGCCTTTTTCCAAAAACTTGATTGTTATGTGTACTTTTTGCACATATGGTCATTGGGATTTGCTTTTACGGTATGATTTTTACAGCAGTGACGCAATTCTTTAGTGAAATTGGCAAGTAATTATATTACGACAATGAAAGTAGGAAAATCAAGGATAGATTACCAAGGCAAATTTGCTCTAAGGAGTGCTTTTCTATGTGCCTCTGAAAATTTGATTCCAGCAACATTTGCTAGTCGTATGAAATCCTCTACAAAAATAATGTTTAAAATTAAAGATAAATATAGAGCGCAATTAAATCTGCCTTACCAATTTTTGTTCATTTATTTAGCACTTGTTTCATATTGCAGATTTTTATTAAGCCAAAAAACAAAACAAATTTTACATATCGAATAACTTGAATAAAAAATTCAAACAACCTAGCGGTATTTCTACTTTGTTGCAAATGTTGCGCTCCAAACGAAAGCCATATTCAATCCAGAGTAATTCATTCGAATGACTTCCATAGCAAACAAATACTTGGTCACCTTTATGAACTGATCTGTTTGCAATCACTTTATAGACATTCAGTTTGTTGTCCCAAAATGTGTAACACTGAAGACATGTAAAAAACAAGTCTGATTACTTTTCAACCGGTCTCTAATTTTCGTAATACTTAAAAAAAGCGGCTGAATCAAAGAAAGAAACTTTAAACATGTAAAGCAAGATGAATATTTCTAGTACAGTGGTTATTTAAGGATTCGTAAAGTAGTTTTACTTGACTGTCATTGCTGTGGTTGAGCATGTCGATTAATGGAACAATAGCAAGAGTATCGCCTTTACTGCTGTCAATAAGTGGATGAGGTTTATTATTGCGATACATACATCTTGTATTCACAATATGCCAAGCCCATAAAAACTTATCCCAATTTGTGGTCTCACCCAAAATTGCCACAAACTAAATGACCAACAAACTTCAAATCACGCGATTTCTATTAGCGGTCTGATGACGTTTTGAATTAAGAATTTCTAAAACTCGAAAACACTTCTTTCCTGACTCAATGTTACAAGTCTTATTATTTTACAAATAAAGACACATGAATGATTGGTTACATAAAAAAGTTCAAGGTAAAATGCAAGGTTTCAGGAGACGAAATCTATGAAGTAGAATACATTAGCCGAAAATTCCAGTAAATAATTTCATTTTCTACTTAAATGATGTTTGACTAACAGCGCACCCGACGATACATTCTAGATATCTCTTGTTGTTGTTCATACCATTGCTTTCTTGACTTAAATGGAAAATCTTCTGACTTCAAAAACGGATATAGATAAGCTGGAGTTGAAAATGACGTTGGTAAAACTTGCATATAAGGAAACCATTTTGAATTCTGCTGCCTTTCCGCAATGAAAAAATAAACTAACGCTTCAAAAGGTTTTAGACGAAAGCTGAAAGAGATGATTAAGACATTTTGCTCTATACAAGAGATCAATTGAATATTCTGAAAATAGGAATGACTTTGCTCTGTGTGCAATGTTCACCAAAATGAAGTTTAATTAGATCAGAATACAAACAAACAAAAGAGGGAAGATTTTTGAACAATATTTACAATGGTTTTTAGCCATATTTTTAAACAAATTACAGTATCGCACCACACTTCTGAATCAAAATAGTGCCCTGCATAATATTTTGACACGAGTGTAAATGTGAAAGAAGCAAACTTCCATAAATAACTGATTAATCTTCAACAATAATGGATATTCCGACCTTTGAAATACTTCACACATATCTTCCATATCGGCAACACTACCAGCTGTAATGACAAGTGCATCCGGTATGGATACCAGCACTTCATTCTCACGGAAATCCGCTGTCGCAAATAAACCCTTGCCACCTTCGTTTGGACAATCTCTGATATCGATACCGAAATTTTGACCCCCATGTCTAATTACCCATTCCATGAAATTTGCAGAACTCATAGCCCACAAATTATCTAAATTAATTCACTTCCAGTTCCAAAATTATTTCAGTAACGTGTCTACTTAACATATACATGGAGAATGATAAATTTGTAAAATGCTTTAGACCATTGTATCAGCCATCAATTTATTAATTTCAAATGCTTATAAAGTAGACACGTTACTGTTTATAATAAATATTAAAAAAATTATAATCAGACTCCACATACACTGACATGAAAAGAAAATATGATTAAACATTCCATTACCATTCACAAACAGTAAACCAACTTCTTTTCTTTACCAGTTAATGAAATTCAGTCTTATTACATTGATGAAATGACAATATTATTTCTGATACACTAACCTTGCTCGCAAATATCGCAAAAATCTCACTTAGAAATGCGGAAGTCTTAAAGTTCTACTTCATTCAATAACAAATGTTCAGTAGCAAAGTAATATATATTATCTAGATTGATGCTATAAAGGCACAAATGAAAGCTATAGGAATGAACAGAATGCTCGTCACCCTCAAGATTAATGAAGTACGTCTAACTCTCGTACTTTGATATATATATATTTCTTGGCCTTGCCGAGGTGCTGAGCGGTTGGCTCCGAGGTTGACTGTGAGCAGCTGTGTTCAACGAACATAAAATGGAGGTTAAAACGAATAAGTCCGCATCTGGAATCAAAAAATGAAAACTATACAAAAACAGATGCGATTGGAAAAAGCTATGTGAAGGGTGTGAGAGAACATACTGCCAGTGTACCAGAATCAGGTGCCAGCAAAATTATCAC